CCTCCCCATAACGTGCTGCCCAGTGCAGCAGTGTGGGAACTGACCTTGTCTGTGAAGGCAGAGGCAAAAAAGCATTGAGTACTTCAGCTTTTTCCACATCATCTGTCACTAAGTTGCCTCCCCCATTAAAGAAGGGTCCCACACTTTCCCTGACCTTCTTCTTGTTGCTAACATACCCGTAGAAACCCTTCTTGTTACCCTTCACATCCCTTGCTAGCTGCAACTCCAATTGTGCTTTGGCCTTCCTGATTACACACCCCTGCATGCTCAAGCAATATTTTTATACTTCTCCCTAGTCATCTGTCCAAATGTCCACTTCTTGTAAGCTTCCTTTTTGTGTTTAAGTTCACAGAAAATTTCTCTGTTAAGCCAAGCTGGTCGCCTGTCATATTTGCTATTCTTTCTGCACATCGGGATTGTTTGTTCCTGCGCCCTCAATAAGGCTTCTTTAAAATAGAGCCAGCTCTCCTGGACTGCTTTCCCCCTCATATTAGCCTCCCAGCGGATCCTGCCCATCAATTCCCTGAGGGAGTCAAAGTCTGCTTTTCTGAAGTCCAGGATCCTTATTCTGCTGCTCTCCTTTCTTCCTTTTGTCACGATCCTGAACTCGTCCATCTCATGGTCACTGCTGCCTAGATTGCCACCCACTTCTACTTCTCCTACCAATAATTCCCTGTTTGTGAGCAGTAGGTCAAGAGGGGCATGGCCCCTAGTTGGTTCCTCTAGCACTTGTACCAGGAAGTTGACCCCAACACACTCCAAAAATGTCCTGCATTGTCTGTGCACTGCTGTATTGCTCTTCCAGCAGATGTCAGGGTGATTGAAGTCCCCCATGAGAACCAGGGCCTGTAACCTGGAAACTTCTGTTAGTTGTCTGAAGAAAGCCTCATCTACGTCATCCTCCTGATCTGGTGGTCTATAGCAGATGCCCACCACGACACCACCCTTGTTGCTCTTGCCTCTAAACTTAACCCAAAGACTCTCAACAGGCTTTTCTCCAGTTTCAGACTGGAGCTCTGAGCAATCATACTGCTCTCTTACATACAGTGCAACTCCTCCACCTTTTCTCCCCTGCCTGTCCTTCCTGAACAGTTTATATCCATCCATGACAGTGCTCCAGTCATGTGAGTTACTCCACCAAGTCTCTGTTATTCCAATCACATCATAAAAGCAACAAAGAGTCCTGTGGCATCTTAAAGACTAACAGATGTATTGGAGCATAAGCTTTCGTGCGTGAATGCCCACTTCGTCAGACACACGAAAGCTTAAGCTCCAATACATCTGTTAGTCTTTAAGGTGTCACAGGACTCTTTGTTGCTTTTTACAGATCCAGACTAACACAGCTACCCCTCTGATACCTAATCACAGCATAGTTCCTTGACTGTGCCAGGACTTCCAATTCTTTCTGCTTGTTCCTGTGTTCGTGTACAGGCACCTAAGATAACTAGCCGATTGTCCTACTTTCTCAGTATGAATCAGGAGCCCTGTTGAACCCTCCTCCTTGTGTTTCCTCCCGGTATCCCACTTACCTCTGGGCTTAGGTTTCCATTCCCCGGCGAGCCTAGTTTAAAGCCCTCCTCACTAGGTTAGCAAGCCTGCCTGCGAAGATGTTCTTCCCTCTCTTCATTAGGTGGATCCCATCTCTTCCTAGCAATCTTCTTCCTGGAATACCATCACCTGGTCGAAGACTCCAAAGCCCTCTCTCCAACACCACCTGCGCAACCACGCATTTACATCCACAATTCGAGGGTCCCTACCTGGGCCTTTTCCTTCAACAGGGAGGATGGACGAGAACACGATTTGTGCCTCAAACTCCTTTATCCTTCTTCCTAGAGCCACGTAGTCTGCAGTGACCCACTCAAGTTCATTCTTGGCAGTATCATTGGTGCCCACATGGAGAAGTAGGAAGGGGTAGCGGTCCGAGGGCTTGATCAGTCTCGGCAGACACTCCATCACATCCTGAATTCTGGCTTCAGGCAAGCAGCACTTCTCGAGTTTCTCAGTCTGGACGGCAGATGGATGACTCCATCCCCCTTAGGAGGGAGTCCCCGACCATCACCACCCATCTCCTCCTCTTGGGATCCATCCCACCTGGCTTCCTGATACAGACTGAAAGATGTCCCCACAGGTCTAATTCCTTAGGGGATCAAACTAATTAAGAATAGAGCAGAATAACGAATAGATTTTTCAGTGGCCAAACCAGAAAAAACAACAACTGGTTCCTTGCAAACAGGAACTGAATTTTTTTTTGTTTTTCCTTAAAAAAAAAAAAAAAAAAAAAGTTTTTGTTCGAGTGAACGAAACACTTCAAAAGTTGTTTCGAATGGACATTTTCTAAATAAATGTCGTTTCAAATTGACATTTCATTTGCAAAATGTCATTTTGAAAGGATGTGTCAAAATGGTTTATTCTGAAAATGTTGGGGGAAAAAAAACCCATCCTGATTTTTTCCCAGTTGAAAGTCTTTGCCAAATTTAACCCAAATTCCCAAATAGTTTCAGTGCCCTGAAAAATACATTTATGGCAAATTTACTATGCTAAAAAAAAATTCACCCAATTCTAGTTATAAGTAAAAGTAAGCTCAGTCATCTGAGAGAATTGGTGGAGTTTTCTCCAGGGGTGCTTCGTGAATGGTGCATATGTTGTCTGTCAGGATTGAGATACACTGGCAAGTCATCATGGGAAAAGTCAGGCTACTCTTGCCTGCAGTATGCCTGGCTCTTACTGCTATTGATCCACTTTCATGAGCCTCAAATTCACACTCAGTTTTCATGAGTACCAAATTTTCTGTCATGTAAAATGTAGGGGAAGAGAGAAAGAAAGAGAAAAGAATGAGGTAACAAAAAAAAAGTGACTGGTTCAAATAAATAAATGATCCTCTAAACTAAGGAGGAGAAAATCCTACAAAACTAAAATTTCCCATAAAGTTCTAGAGGTATCATTAAATTTTAAACCTGCTTGGAAAAGAAAGACAGAAAAAAAATCTTCTTGATACATCCTACAATGCTTTGAATCCCATCATCAAAAGCATTACTCTTGCAATGACATTGAAGCATAGAAAACACCAATTGGTTGAGGCTGTGATATATAAGGCAGTCCTATAAGCACTGCTCTTGGACATTCCCTCTGAGTATACTGAGGGAAACATCACCCAGAAGGGGGTGAGAGGGTGTGCTGGCTTTCAGTGGGGGCCAAGTGGGGACGGGGATGGGGAGAAGAGCCTGTCTACCACCCTATCACCTCAAAAGAGAAAGGGATTGTGCCTAATTTTGTAGGGATTGAATAGGTTTATATGGATACAATATGTATGATAATTTACAAACTTGCCAGTATAATGAAAAGTGTGAAACATTTTTTACATAGGGAAGTGTGAACCTGTACAAGACAGAAGAGGAAAGCCCAAATTTCAGCCACAATCTTGAAGTGAACCAATTCCCTTTTCTAGATTGAGATGGTATCACAAACTCCTCCCCAACCCCCGAGAGGCCTCTTGGCTTCATTTAGCTAACATTCTTCTACCGTTTGCAGCAAAGGTTTGGCCATATATGCTGGCTCAGTTGCTATCTTAGTCCCAATGAGTTCTGGGGCTTCCCAGCTGCTGCAGGGATGGGAGGAGCACAATGCATTCTAGGACACATAAGATCTAGGGCATGCCGAGATATTAAGATTAAATATAGCCAAAATACAACATTGACAGTCAGCATTGACAGAGAGACACCCTGGTCTATCTCCCTTGCTTTAGGGCATAAAGCTGTCTTAATGCAGGCTATGCTGTGCACAGGCTAACATGCTGCAGAACTGAGCTCCACAGTGACTTTCTGTGCAGGAACATGCGGCAGTGGATATGGGCAGGATGACGACATGATGCTGTTTGGGTCCATGCACTGTGCATCCATTGGTTCCTGGCCCCATGAAATAGTTGAGCAGTAGGCCACATCCCCTTCTTCCCCTGTACTATGCAGTAGCTGGCCACAGTCCACATGCCTGAGAGCTGCTATGGGATTGGGTGGATGAGTCTGTTTGCCCACAGAGTATAGTTCATGCAGATAGCTATGGAAACGTTTGGACTAAGATCCAGATCATGTGCTTTAGGTTATCCAAGGCTTCATTCCATGGAGTCACTGTGAAGCTTCACAAAATCAGAGAAATTCAGATAAACACCTAAACTTATCAAAGCTTATGTGAACCAAACCTTTGAACCTCTTGAACGTTGTCCATCACTATTTTCTAACTAGTATACTTGGTCTTGTGGTTACTTAGACTCAGTTAAACACTTCCCCTTACCTGGGAGATTTTATACATTTATATGTTGAATCACAAAAGGAGAGTTGTCTCCAAATGTTTTAATTATTAAACTGTTAGTATAACTGAAATTGTGTGGCAAACTATAAAGTGTTTTGGTCAATCCATTTTGTGGTCCTTAGCAATATCCTATTCAGAGCTTCTTCCTTGCAAGCACAGGTTGTACAACATACTGATTTTCTGCACAGTCACATACCTATGAAGTCCTGGATTAAACAGCAAAATATATTTATCTGTACTGCTTTGAAAAACAGTTGTTCATATAAGAGCTCATTTCAAGCCCAGGTAGCACTGAAAATTTTTAATGTGAAATGGAGAATTCAGTGAGCTATGAAGTTAATATTCATTAACCTGGCATTTCAGGATCTATAGGAGCTGTAACTCTAGTACATCTTTGGGTACATATTTTATATGATAGCAAATAGTTGTTAAATATAAGCACAGGAGGACAAAATCCACTCAAAAGGAATCATTCATAAATAATGTTTTCACATAGACATGTGAGAAAAAAGAGGTCATGTTGGGATTACCCAATCAATAATTCATGTGGTTAACGACTGAATTATCATGTCAAGCATAATGAGTAGTCATTTTAAAATGAACAATAAAGCCTTATTTTACTGCGATAATCTAAACCACCTAAGTACGAGAATCATCTTTAAAGCTAATGGACACTGCAGATAGCTTAACGTACTTACATCACTTTCATGGCCTTCTCGCAGATTGTATGTGAGATCATGCTGAATGTCTTCCACAAATTTGTGAGCATACTCCGGGTAAAGATCGAGCACTTCAAAGAGTCCTTTGAGGATAATGCATTGGAGGTCACAGTAGGTTAGAGCTTTAACATCTGCGTTTGTTTTAATAACTTGGTCTTTAATTGAGAGGTTTGCTCCAATTAAATCTCCTTTACCTAAAGGAAAATAGGAAAGTTATTTCAAAAGAATAAATACTTGACTCTCCTTTGAAACTTAAAGGTCCATTTAATGTTAACTGCTAAAATTTAAAGTCTGCTGCTGCTACTGCACAATTTAATTCCTAACATTTTAAAGACATCCATGATCTGATATTTAAAAGCTTTCTCGATTTTTGCAGGTGCAATATTACTTCTGCACCTACAATTGGTGGAAGGTACAAATGCTAATCTCCAGATGTGTAACTACCTTCTTGAAGGGAGCAATATAGTAATTAGCTATACAAATATAAGTGTTTTCACCAGCAATTAGTGACAGGTGCAATTTTGTGTCTGCAAAAGTAGAGGCTCATTCACAGACCCTCTGTCAGAAAGGAGGAAAACTGACAAAAGTATTTATAATCAAAAAGATGGCTCTAAGGAAGGGCTCTTTTAAATATATATATTTTTTACTTAAAATCTGCATGGTGAATGATTTGCAATGTACGGTGGCTATGTGTCATTGTATACCTTACCAGTGTATTGTTGCAAAACAGGGGATTCAGTTGAACAAAATTCCCGTCAATAAAAAAACCAAATTGATTCTCAAGCCGTTATACCTTCAGATATAGGCATGACTGCCTTTGAGTCGCACATGTATTAAAGGGCACAACTGATCCTGACAGCATGGAAATTTTATGGTGAAATGTTCAGAAATATTTGTACATATAAGTAAAAGACAGTATTTCAAAGCTGAAATTCCATTCAGTTGGTAATTCCAAATGGATATTGCACTGGAACGCTTAACTTAAGAGTTTAAAAAAACAACAACCCACTAGAAGTTGCTTAAAGCAGATCAGTTTTGCTTTCTATTGCTACTGCATCTTCACTGTAAAGATCCAGATGTTACAACATTCTGTTTTCACAAGTGCCTACAGTAAACCCAGTAGGGACTGATCCATATTTACATAAGATTATGTTACACAGCTCTGACAGCATAAAAGGGCCCTAAATGTATTTTAAGAATGGAGTAAAGTGCCCTTAGTGTAAATGGTAATTAGGACCAATTGTGTTTATGATCAGAATGGTAAACATAATAGATACAACACCACACCAATACAAATATTTTGCTATAATTTCACTGCATTATGTTCTAATGGCAACTCAATCAAAAGCAATATAAAACTAAGCAAAATGATATGTTGACTTTGTGACTGATATCACCAGCTTTTTAGACTAGATTTTCCTGGTTATATTCCTGAGAGGGCAGGCAAGGTGTTCCAGTGTCAGCTATATAAACAAGGGCACTAGTTAAAAAAGCTATTCTGAATTTACCAAAACTGCTTTCAAATATACTAATCGGAAATTCCTCAGGTGTGTGAACATTTTAGTATGATGAATCTATAAACCATCCGGACTAGATCTCATACTTTAGGACTTTTAAATACAATAATACCAGCTGGGAAAAAAAATACAATTTATCTTACAAGATTACTGCATATTCCTTTTCAAGAGCAAACATTATAGACAGAATGCGGAAGACATAACTATCAAAAAAATAAAATGAGCAAGTGCAGGGTACACCAACATTTGCCATTTAAACAGATGTCATCATATAAGTCAGTCTAAGCAGCTCTTCTCTTTTCTGATTGGAGAACAGAATTGCTTGTGTGTATTTATGTGGAGACATCTGTTTGATAATATCTCTCTGTCATTGCAGCCTTATTCACAAATTCATTTGGTTGATGGAATGATTTTTTCTCCCCAAACATTTCTGGCTAACCTTTTAAAACATAAATCTAATACGTATATTTAAATAGCATGTCATTTAAGAATTAAAATATATTTCTTTACTTAAAGACCCCATATTCATGATTATAAACTGATAATATCAAGAGGAACCAAAATAAATAGCTATATTGTATTAAATTATCTAATGTTGTATTAACTGTATTGTATTGCTAATGAAAACGTATCAAACTCGAGGACCACTCTATTGGAATTACAAGTAGAGTATAAATTATAAAATTATAGGCCATAATTTATAAATTAGACCAGACAATAATCCACTGTTTTAATGATGAATTTGTCTCCTGGATTACTTCACTTCAACAGAGTAGATTCTCATTAGGGTAATATAGGTTTGATGTATACATCTGCTATTAGTGTTAATCAGACTTAATTGAGGAAGTTCCCATTCACTGTGATGAAACTTTCATCCACACTGTTTTCTAATTATGATTTCATTAATTTCATGGAGAAATCCTCTAAGCCTTTGTTGTTGTCTCTATTGTGAAATGTTTTGATTAACATTTTCAGAAATACCTAAAAATGGAAGCATTAATGATACCTTAATTCCTCTCTGGGCAACTCTTGACCTTTTGTTATATTTAAGCTTATCATTTCTCTACACCCTATTTTATAGCATTGGTTTAGCTGATCCAATAAATGCTAGCCATTTTTAAACTTCCTAATTACAAATGAGTAATGGTCTGGAGTGGCTTGGATTGTCAATTTAATGGAATTAAAGGGTTATAAAACAAAGAAATGTATTATAATTATTTTCTTGAAAATACCTAACCCCTAAATGTATATTAATAATAAAATAAAGGAAATTCAATTATAAAGATAGAGATCAGTAATGTCAAAGGTCTAACACGGTCCTACAAAAACAGCAAGTAAAGCAGAAAGTAAATATTTGTTTTGTCTCTGTATTGTATGACTATTCAAGGCTGTGACACTTAGGCCTGGTCTACACTAACCCCTCAAGTCGAACTAAGGTACGCAACTTCAGCTACGTGAATAACGTAGCTGAAGTCGACATACCTTAGTTTGAACTTACCGCGGTTCAGACGCGGTCCACACGCGGCAGGCAGGCTCCCCGTCGACTCCGCGGTACTCCTCTCGCCGAGCTGGAGTACCGCACTCGACGGCGAGCACTTCCTGGTTCGACTTATCGCGTCCAGACCAGACGCGATAAGTCGAACCCAGAACTTCGATCCCCAGCCGCCGAACTAGCGGCTGGGTGTAGACCAGCCCTTAGAAATGTAAGAATATATTCTAAAATTACAAAAGGGGCTTAACAACTCACATTAAATAATACTTTACACTTATAGCACCTTTCATCTGGAGATATCAAAGTGTTTTACAAATACTGAACTAGATAAGTCTGATGGGTCTGATCCAAAATCCACATGAGTCAATGGGAGTCTTTTCATTGACTTTAATGGGCATTGGATTGGGCCCCGTTACTGCAATTACTTGAAACATGGGGCAGTTAACAGGTGACTTGTCCATGGACATATAGAAAACCAGTGGCTGATCCTAGAATAGAACATATTTCCACTCTCTGCTCTAGCTATTAGCTTCCTTGAAAGCTGATAGCAAAGATAAGCTTAAAAAAACAAACTGTTTTTAACTCCATAGTCTGACTAGAGATGGGTCAGGGTACCCAGTGTTACATTGATTTGAGTTAGGGTTAGGCCATGATTTTAGGTTTGGGTTTAAAGCTGAATTATGCCTGTGGGTTGGGATTAGATTTAATGGTACCAACATCTTGAGAGCTGTTTTCTTGAGATTTTTGCCTCGAACGATGAATTATTGTAAGATCATCACTCATGCGATTTGGGCCTCTTCTGAACTAAAAATAGGACCCTTCTAGTCTTGAATCTAACTCCGAACGAAAACCTTAGGGATATTTGTGTTGCATGTATAGTAGATCTAGGGACCTGGTTTTGGCACATCTCTTATCAATATTGCTAGGACACACTCATCTACCAGTTAGCAGTGGTCTAAGTGTTAGCTGGAGATGTTTGTTTATCTTTGTTAACATTTAACTTTACAGTATTGTCTGCATTAGAGGACTATTCATTTTCTTCGAAGATGTTAAACATTAACCTACCAAGAATTGCCAGCACCATGCTATCTTTCAGTACTTCCATGGAACCTGAGCACACAAAATAGATAGCCTGCAAGGCATCTCCCTGCCGGAGGAGGTACTCCCCAGGAGCACAAAAGGAGGTTTTGATATGCAGAGACAGAGACCTGAGGCAACCACGGCTGGCACACTCAAAAAGGGACAGCTGCAGAATCTCCTTGTTCAAGTGCATGGTGATGTCTGAGCGCAGCTCATCTGGAAAGTCTTTTAAAAGCTGTCCAAAAAGGGAAAACGAGATTGATGTTAAGTGTAAAATAATTTATTTGATTTTTTTGCATAAATGATCTGAGTTACTAGCAATGTACACAATGCCTTTATGCTGAGGTTTTCTCTTACGCATTTATATTTAAAGTAAAATACACAAATCTTGCAGTCCTTAGTTAGTTCTTACTGAGTCCTTACACAGATAAGCACCCACTGATTTCAGGGATACTTTATAATATATTAAGGGGTTTTTTGGTAATTAAAAATACATTTGTACTACAAGTTTACCTTGTGCACAAAACCCACACACAATTCTTGCAGCTTTTTGATAGAAGAAAATAGGCTATTTTGTATTCTTTGTATGTTCTTTGTGGCAACAATGCCTGGCACAATGACTCCAACTAGAAATAAAACAACAAATAATTCATGCCAGGCCTATATGGCATGGGCAGAAACAAGTGATGATAATTTTGTTGAGTTGCAATAGAGTCCTCTTAAAATGTTCATATCATGTATCGTGTGAATGGGAGACAGGCATTTTAAATAGGAAGCTGCAAATCATAGCTGCAAAGGAAGGAAAAGGCCTATCAATGTATTTCCATTTAAACTGTGTGTTTAATCATGGAGTTTTACCCTGAATATCACACCCACCCCACCCCGTCCAAGGAACCCTAACTGCAAACAGTGTTACTGTGGTCCAGTTCCTGAGATCCTTAACCAATCCTTATTCAGGCCTATATTGCCCACTTCTTTGGTAAAATCCATGGTAGTGGTTATGGGGGATAAAACTTCCCTAAGGTTCCCCCTTGCAGAGTTCCCTCTATGATGTTACATTGGATGTTAGGGGGAAAAGGGAATGGTGATGAGGTGGAATGAGGTTCATGTCCAGCGCAAAACCCTGGTGAAGGCAAAGGGTGGATACTTCTTCCTAGTTTTTCCTCAGTCCTCATTCAGGCAAGCTCCCATTGTAGTTTTGAGCTTGGTTCTGATGTCACTTATGTCAGTTTCTCAGCAGATCTAGTGCAGCAGAGGAAAATTAATAAGTACATGTTTCTGCTCATAGATGCTTTTTTCATATAGGGGTGGCATAAAAACTGATAAAACATTCTCTTTCTTCCACCAAGGCACCACAAGAATTTTGGGTGGGGGGGGGGGGGGGAGAGAGACACAAAAAAAGTGCTTAAGTAACTTTTTGAAAGTCAATAGGAAGAAGTAACTGGCATTCGTTCCTCTGAAAATCTCCCAGTATGTGCCTAAGTCATTTAGCACTGGTGAAAATCCCACCCCTTGTGTTTTCTGTGTGCACCAGAAAAGAAAACTTCAAAAGGAATGTTCTGAAACCAAAATCTTCACATTTATTTCTATATTGGTTTTGGAGCTATTGAGGCTATTTTGGAGCTATTGGAGCTATTTTATAAGGACACATGTTATAATGACAATTAAATGTTCAACAGGAATGGTTTGTTCAAACAAGCATTGGGCCAAGGAAAGTCATTGTATCCTATGGAGTAAAATAATAAACGATTTAGCTGAGTCATATATAAAGAAACCACCAGAATTCTCTCTCCAACTGTCACACTCATGTTACTCTTCTTCAGTAATTAGTTAACATTAAAAATATGTAAGAAGTAATAAGTATATTTTAGATTCAGACAGTGCCTTTCAGCCTAAATGATCCAATCATGTTTCACAACCTCTGCACAGACAACATCCATGAAATGCAGCTACCTATGTACAAAAGGTTGCAAACAGTGAAGAGAGGGTAAGGATGGAGGAAGTAGTAATTTTGGTCAAGGACAGGGAAGAAATCCCTACTCTTAGGAAAAGTGCCATGGATACTTTAACATTTGGTGCAGGACAGAAACCCCTCTGTTTCAGGGCATCATCAAAAAGACCCCTGCTGAATGGTACTTCAGTGCTTCCAAATTATGGTGGGCTTAGGTGGCCCTACTGAAATTTGAATTTGTAGTTTCAGGGAGTCTGATATTTCCAAACAGATGGTTCAACAACCTATATATCCCCTCTGGGATAACAAACTCAGCTTTATTCCTTATGCACATTCTTTCTGGTGTGTGACTTCACATAAAATTTCAGAATAAAACCATCTTAACCAAAAAAACCAATTAGAACAAATCTAAGAAGCCAATGGAAGCCCCACTTTGACTATTACCTCATTGGAATCTATTCCATTATTGACAGACCAGGTGGTTTGGAAATATTCAAGCATCCTCTGCTTTAACTGCTGTGGCAGGTGATGGACCCGTATAAAGTCCTTTAGATCCTTGGTTCTTGTGTGATAAAGGGACCATCTGGAGTACATCCTCTGAATTATAGCAGTCACATTTCCGAACACCAAGGCATGCATCAAAGCTAGGGAGAACAGAAATTATGTACAACGGGATGCAATGACTTTGCAGATTATGGTTAAAATACAATATAGAAAATATTAGAACAATTTTCACAGAATCCAAGCTTTCACTTATAAATAGGCAAAATGAAGTTTTAGAGAATGCAACACCTTCTGAAATACAGAGCAGCACTTTAATAATAAAACTCTTAAGTAAATATAGCTACTCTGACAGCATGTTAACCAAACCAGAGAGGAGATAGACATGGCATTTCAGAACTTTTGTACCAAAAAAAAAAAAAAAAAAAAAATCTATAACATTAGGTCAGAATGGATGCTGACATGTGCTGTTATCTGACTAGAGATTTAAAAAACTTCAGGAAATAAATTTGTTTTTAAAGCCATTTAGAAACTTTCTGTTAAGGCAAAGTTGCAATAAAACATTAGCATACTACATTGTACATTACTTATTACTTATTCGGGATCAGGTTAATATTAAAAGAACCTGGGCTAAAGACTCTGGCTTGCTGGGTGGGGAGCCCTCCTACTTTGAGTATGATTAAAAAGGGTGACCAAATTTCTTTATATCTATCCTCTGTTTGGCACTTCTCTTGTTTAGATACTTGGTGTGAAATCTTTGGTGTGAACTGCTTTGGTGGCATTCGTGATTCAGCTGGAGCTGGTGGAGGTGGCAATGTCATCTGGTTCCCTCTCTGGCTCAGTCTGGGCGGGACATCTCACAAGAATAGGACAAAGAAGGTTGGGGGTCCCAGGAGATGGTGGAAGTAGCAGCCATGATGGAAGCTGACATCTCATTTTTCTCATTCTTTAGGGACCTCAAAATGGACTGATGGTTGGAACAGCCCATCTCCTCATTATTTTGTCCACCAGTTAGGCCTAATTTCCAACGCAGCAATTTTGTCTCATTGATTTCTGGTCCCACACTTGTTTACCAGGCATGCTCTTAACACAGTCATTTAGTTTTATCAGTAGGCCTTTCTAGCTATGTCTACATATGTCCATGCACATGGTTGTGCCATATAACCCCCCTATTGTTCACATCTAAGCTCCAGAACCACATGTCTGCAGGCAAGTGGAGGGTGAATAAACTACCATGCCTGTGGGATGTGGGTAAGTACACACCTCAGGCTGTGGCATGGCCTCGTATCCATGCCAGTCTGCATTGTGGTTGGGAGTAAGGGGCATGTACCAGGTCTCCAGTTTCAGTAATCCTCCACCCCCGTTCCCACAATGCACTGAACTCTTTTCTTCCTCACCTTTACCCAACTGCAAAGATCCGAGTCCCCCCATTTTCTTGGGTAATAGTGAGCCGCGCTGACCACATCAGAACAGTTTTCAGCTGCACTGTTTTGATCAGTACAAGTGAATATGGATCCTCCTCTGAGAGCAGCTGCTTAGCCTGCCAACCACACCTGCATGCTGACCAATTGTGGTCAGAGTACACCGTCCTCCATGACTTCCTGGAGCAGCAGGAACATACAACTGTATTGGTGAAATTTCAGAGAGGCTGGAGCAGGTGGGCATTGAGTGGGCTCTGTCCTAGTAGCTGAAATGCATCAAGCACTTGAGGATCCTGTACAAGAAGACAAACAACTCCAATAGTTGCTCCAGATGGACTTCTTGTACATGCTCCTTCTACGACAAACTGGCCCAGGCCAAGGGTTCCCAGTACAAAGCTTCAGTGGCTCAAGACCCCCTCCTGAACCCCACCAGATTATCATTTGACGGGATGCTGAGGAGGGCCAGGGTGAGGAGGCAGCAGGGAACAGAGAGGATGCTCTGGAAGATCCGGAGGATGAGGTGCATGATTTTGCACATCTACCCAGAGTAGCCGATTAGGGAAGATTCCTCCCCCTCCCCCAATGATTTTGAGGAGGGCCTCGAGCTGCATCAGGAACCAGAACCCGAGGCTGACAAGTTACAAGTCCTCCCCACCAATATCTCCTCTTGGTCTGGTGCTAAATTCCTGATTTTAAGCCCAGCCCCCACGCCGGTGCAACACTGGCATGGTCCCTAAGCATGGAAAAGCTACAAATAACCAGTTTTATTGATTTCCGATGAACCACTATTATACATTTGACAGAAGCTATGTCTGAAAAAAAACAGATTAAAGAAAAATCATTGTGCCCGTTGTCTGTGTATTTCTTGGCCGGCACACAGGCAGCAATGGTCCTATGGAAGCAGACCAGGAGAAGGGATGGAGTGGTTTAGAAAGGTCCTGGTTGGGGATGTGACGACAATTGTAGAAAACCTATAGTTGTTTGTCTGAAGTTAGTAATGGCTGTCTTTCATCCCTTGGAACATAACTGTTTTAGTGTTTCTATCACCTCCCTCCGCCTGATCTTACCCTTCCCTTGGAAACAGGAGCTGTGTGGAACAGAGGACAAGGGACTGGTAGTAGAGAGAGTGTTAGGTCCGGGAAGGGAACATTCCGGTTGTCTGAGAAAAAAGTAATCACAGCAGTCCTTTCTTCTTCATGTAAGCGGGAGAATGGTCCCGCTATTGTGGGGAACTTTCCTGGCTTATACACTACCCTGGTGACATGGGCTAGCAAAAGGATCTGAGTCCTCGCTCCCACTTCCTTTACCCAGAGGCCTGCCTGACCTCAAGGGCTCCCCTTCCACTCTCATGTGTGGCAGAGTCCTCGTAACCCCAACAAGGCTGGGCCCAGGATTCCTGGGGAGCTCAACCCCCAACCTTGTTGTGGTCACTTAGGGCAGGGGCTAGGATGTCCCCACTCCGGGGTGCTCTCTCTGCACTGAATGCTTCCCTGACCCACTGATCATTACATACAGTTCAAAGCAAATACAATTTATTAAACAGCAATCAATTTAAAATAATAAGGGAAAAATGGGAAAGGTTAAAGGAAACATCACCCCGCTCTGTGGCACGGGGATGTCACAACCAGTGTTTCTGGAATGTAAGGGCAGTTCAGTCTGTTCCTCACAAGTCCCAGGCCCCCTTCTCAGGCCCTGGCTGTGCTGCAGGGATGCTACGGGTCGGACACTTACTCTGGCGGTGGCCACATGCTCTAAGGCTATAGGTGGCAGGACCATTCTTCCAAGCGTTGCCCCTGCCCCGTCGGGGTTACGATCCCTCTCCAAGTCTGGTCTCCCAGGCGTCTTGGCTGGGGGCGTCTCTCTGTGCTGGGCACGTGGCCCAGGGTCCCCCTTGCTCTCCCCAGCTGGTCCCCACACCCGGCTCCGGACTGCTCCAGCCCCAGCTCCAGCTCCACTCTGCCTCAGCACTGCTGCGGCTGCTCTGCCGCCAGCTCCCTCAGCATGGCTGCTTCTGTAACTCTGCTCCCAGCACTGACCTGCTTTGTGGGCTGCTTTTCTGGCCCCTCTGGCTGGCACAGCTCTGCTCGCCAGCTGAGCTTGGGCCCCTGCTTTCTCCTTAGCTCGGCCCCACTCTGTCTGGCCCAGGCAATTCCAGCTCACACAGAGGACGGGACCCCCCCCCCCGGCCTCCTGACTCCCTGATTAGCCTGTCCGCCCTGTCAGTCAGGCTGACCTGGAGCACTGGCCTTTTCCCATTGTTCCTGGGGACTGTCAGTCTCAGGGTTCTGATTTCCCATCAACTCTTCTCCTTTCTTTTGGTACTGGGAGCTAGCAAACCAAAAAAAACCCCGCTGAGTTTTAGTAAGGGGACAACAGTCCCCTTACATTTGGAAGATTACAAAATTTTCACCGTCCCTGTCCGTGGTGTCTGGCCTCTCCCCACACTGAGTCATGCTGCACAAGCCAGGAAAATGGGGGTGGGAGAAGGATCTGGTATGACGGTTGTATAAATGCAGTGGAGAAGCAAGGGGCTTGAGATGCTCTCTTTCCATGTTCATGTCTATGTTGTTAGGCAGGCACAGGGGCAGGATTTTCTGGTGATGCTGGCAGGGGAGGGGCAGTGTTTGTGGTTCGTATCTCCTTTTGCATGGAAACTCTGTATGTTAGCTGAGAATATAATGAATTTCCAGTTGAACTGCCTCGGAGTCTTTTAATCATATTTCATCACATTTCTGGTGTAGCAGAAACTCCAGCTGGAGTTTGAGGTTCAATGGCAGTGTTAAATGTGCTTGGTCAACCTTTGTAGTTAACCAAGCCCCTCCATTCAGCAATATGTAGGGGGTGACCATTAGCAGAAACATCTCTCTGGCATAAACTGTTGGATTTCCTCCACAGGACTAGAAAGCCACCCCTCTTTTCCATTCTGGTACCTTGAAAACTGCTATGTTCTCCAGATGTTGGCCAGCCTTTAAAAAAGAAATTTCAAACTGGTAACAGAGCCCCTGGAATCAACTGCCACCCACCTCTCCTTGAGACACTATGAAAATTTTATTATTAAAAAAAAAATTAGAAGATGTATCTTACCATTAGTAGCTTCTGCTATATTCTCATGGGCTGCAAAAGTTGTCTGAGAACCAAGGACAGTCTAACAGTCACATTACTGGAGTGCTGAAAAGTATCGAAGTTGTGCCTTTCTACAGCTAAGTTATGTTATCTGGGGAGATTTCTTGGCTTCTTCCACAGGAAACAAAATATAATGCTATCCTTGTCTTTGAACTGGCATGACCTTCAACTCCTGAGAGGGAAATCGTTGCACTAGGAGGCGGGAGCAGCACCCCAGAGACATCAGAGACAAATGGAAGAGGACGCTGGAGGACTGATTTATTGGCATAGATGGGAGGAACAAGGGACAGTTTGAGTTCCTTAGGGCAGGGGAGGATCGGGCTCTTCTGCAGGAAGTGGCATTGATGAACTGAGTCACAGAACAGGAAGCATGCGTTACGGTAGTTGTAACCAATTATTTTTTTGTCAAGACCCACATTTCTTCGTCAAGGTATAGTCGGGGTCCAGACTCCAGAGAAAATAATACAAAAATAACAATAATAATGATGATGATAACTAAATAAAAAAATTTCACGGTTGGCTTCCTCTGCATTAGAGAATGGGAGTGTTCCCTAATGATGAGGCTCATAGAACTAGTGGCCAAATGAGTTTGTGGTCTG